CGATATAATGTTTCATGTCGTTCGGTATCGATAATTATTGACATTTTTTAGTACCTTTTTTAAAACAAAGAGCAATAGAATTTTTTTATTCAACCACTGTATTTTTAAATTAACCCAATTTATTAAGCCAAACAACAAATCTTTTTTTTTTAACAATCAAACAAAATAAAAATTAAACAAATATCTAATTTCTAATGTTTTATATGCAGATTAAATAGGTTTTAAGGAAACTTTTGTCTTGTCTCCCAAGGCCAGAGGAGGGCACAATGAGCAAAATAATAGCGCATTTAAATGGTCAACTCAAGGAAATAACTGTCTATAAAAACCATGCATTATGTCTCAATTAACTCATAAAAATCAAATATAATTTCGTAAATTGCATTAACAATTATGAACAAAACAGTATCATGTATTTATGCATTGCTTAATCCAAAGAGCCGAAGCGCCATTCACACAGATTGCATTTAAAAACATATGAGACGCAGTGAAAAGGAATAAACCTCCACAAATTGGTGACGTGTTTTCTAAAAGTTTAAACTGTTTTAACTTTGCATGACTTTCTATACATCTCTTGTGTGAGACCCGAGTGCAGCAGTCGTACTTGTCCGTCTAATAAATGCGCTGAATATGCGGTCTATGTGAATGGCTAGGTTTCGGTTTGAACCTAATCAAGATCTTCTCCGCATTGAGCTACTGTATTTCTCTAATATTTGAGATGCAGCGGCGCATCTCGTGGGCTAGACTAACAAAACATTAAAATGCAACAACGTCATTTACATCATTATCACCGCATCTCATGCGCCACTGATGCCGCTCCCTGACGCACACCTAACATTCAAATGCAAACGTTTATTTTAAATTTGACTAATATTCATTCTCTATTCACAATCTCCTCATCACAGGCAGGCACAGCACTCATTTCAGCATGTGTTTGTGTGCTGTCTGCGTCACTCATAGCTCGTGCCTATATCGTGCGCCATATCGAAAATTTTTTCTATCGTTATCGAAGAAGGTGTACCGTCGATAAATATCGATACCGTTTTATCACCCAGGCCTACCTTTAAGTAAACTCAATGAAACGTATCTGTACAAAACGTTTAAGCAAGTCAAGCTTAACTGCTTTGTTGTTCAAATAAGAATGTAAAAATATTTCTTCCATAGCAAACAAATGTATTATCAAGGAGGACATTTGGACCACACAACAAACTATAGACAGCTCAACATGAATTATCCACAGCCTAAGGCAGCTACTGCTCATGTGAATCCCCACGTGCTGCAAACTCGACAGCCAGGCACCTTTATGTCAATCCCTGTGATGTCATCCAAGGCGAAAGACTACTCTAGAGCTTTTCTGGGATAGGATTACGGCTGCTCTGGATCGAGACTGATGTTCAGGGCATGAAGAATGAGCCATGTGATCAGCACACTTTCACACCAGTCACGGTGCTGGTGGCTTGGGTAAACTGACGGTTACATGGCTGATGTTGTTTATTTGACTCACTGGCCACTGTTTAGTTCTGCTTTTGTTGCACAGTATAATCTGTGGTGCTCTGAAAAATAGCGGTTTGTTAAGGAACGCTGTGAAGTTGACGCATAGGTCTGGGGCAGCGAGGTATGCTGCTAGCGGGACTCTCCAGAGTAATGAATCAAACCGTGGGCACTGGCTGTCGTCACATGGCCTTTTGGAGAAACCAAGAGAACAGTTAGTTCCTAGGAAGCTCCGTGTTGTAGAAGAAACAACGTGCATTTTAAAGCTACAGCTTTTAGACAAGTTAGAGACAATGCTCTTTGACTAGACATAATGTGAGCAGTCAGTCACTTTTATCCAGGGTCAATTCACCTGGAGCAAACTGCTCAATCTAGTGCTTCGTTCAAGGGCACAATGCTGATGGTGCATGTTGGCGCATATCAAATGAAAACATATAGTTCATCTATATATAAAGAAGCAAGAAGTCTAAAGCTGAGGGTCTCATATAAATTGAATATGGTGCCCGTGTTTATCAGGGCAGATGATTGTTGTGGGAGCATTTTGGCTCAGTGCTAACACTGTAAGTGATATGAAGTCTCTGCCCCACCTGCTCTCATTCACCAGCTGTTCACAGGCCCACTGGTGAGGGGACACCTCTTAAATTTTCATAATTAACAAGTAGCACCTGCAGGTTCTTACCTGACACCCAGCTCACAATTAGATCTCAAAAATAAATAAACAAAACAAGGAATTACACATAAACAGACTGATGTGAAGCTCTAAATATAAGCATTGGTTTTCAGGTGTCTGAAACACATCAAATATTCTCACATGCCACGATTGGTCAGTTATGCACAATGCCTGCACGCTATTTGTCAAACTCCTTTTCATTCATTGTCATCAGCATGTAGGAAGGAAAAGGAAAACAAAGCCAAAACGTGAACATTTTAGGCAACTTAAAAGTCCTAGACAGGACATGTCCAGGAAAAAGAGGACGTATGGTTACCTTACAGGTATCATTATTACTATTAAATAGTGATGATCATGCAATCATGCACACTGCTGCAAACTGGACCAACTTTAAAAAAACTCTTGTCCACAACTCTTGTCACTCTTGTTCTTCAGTTTCAGGTGTGCTGGAAATAGAGTATGACTCAGAGGAAAACAGCTCTAAGATCATGTAACTTTCAACCTGTTTACTGCAAACCATAAAACAACACACTTTTCTGGGTATTACACAAGGTCTTTGTGGTTCTGCGTAAACTATACAATGAAAAGAGCAGCAGAACATCTCTAAAACAGCCCATTTATTCTGTAACTGTTTATGATGTAAACCCAAGAGCAACACACAATTATGGCATTAGTCTGAACACTCTGAATTAAAATAAAAGCCTATAAACTTCACCATGACTAACAGACAACTTTGAGTTAGCAGAGCTACAGAACAGTAGGTGTTAAAACATTCTGCTTTAAACATAAACCAGTGTAAAATAACCACTTAGTGAACTGTCCTGGGGTGTGACATGCTAAACTGCATATAAAACTACGTCAAACAGCATTTCTCGAATTGCATTATAATTATGGTTCATGCAGCTTTCATGACTTCATATTAATCTAGAAACTGCATGAAATATTTCTACTTTTTAAAAAATTATTTGTCATAGAACATTTTGAAAAAAAAGTGAATGCCCATGTTCATTTGTCAACTACGCAAGAATAAAAACAAATACAAAATCATAATGAGGCTGATGTGTTGGTCTGTGTTTAAACTACGAAGGCTTAGCTACTATTATTTTCAAGGTCCACACAAGAGAAAAACAAGCCCAAATGGTCTAAAACCCCAAGACTTTGTTTGCATGTTAGGGGTGGCTGCCTTCACTAAACAACAAGCTGACAAAAGAGCTTGTAAATACAGAGCTGAATAATTCAGGGCTGAATGTAACCGTACCCACACATTGTAGGGATTCAAACCATGGCAGCAAGTGCCCACAGCTTTCATTTTAAGCGGGGTTCAATAATGAGCGCCCCACATTCTGAGAACTCTGTCAAATTCCACCAGAAGAAAAGAAGGAGAACAGTTGTGGAATTTTTTTTTTTTGATTATTAACATATATTCCTTACAATTTCACATTCAGATTTGGGTCACTGAAAAACACTGCAGTTCAACTGAGATAGGCGCAATCACAAAACAAAAACATTTCACCTGTCCTTGGGTGGTTGCTGTAATATACAGTTAAAGATGCAATCAGTATGACTTTGTTTGCGTTTAGCAAACTCTTATTAATTATTTTATTGATTTTAGCAACTGATGTCCTGCTGTTTATTGTCATCGGTGTTAGTCTGCTAATTGAGAGATTTTATCAATAGCGTGACATGATGTCGATATGGAAGTGCCCATAAGCAGGCAACCAGTTCCACGTTGAATAAAATAAGATTTTTTTAGATGACTGAAGTGGTTGCTATTTACTTCTACATGAGTAAATCTTTAATTATCAAAAATGAAATTATATATATATATATATATATATATATATACATACATATATATGTGTGTGTGTGTGTGTGTGTACCAACATTATAAATCTTGAATACTAATATTTATTTGTAAAAATTACTGAGTGCACCTTAAACATACACACACACATACATATATATATATATATATTAGTAATCTTCTTCTAATTTAAGTACATTTGTTATTTGCAAGATTATGATCTTTAGTTGAATTGGCATATGAAGATAACGGAGGATATAGATCAGGTCATCATATAACACAATGAATATAATATGCACAAGGAAACAGTATGAGACACACTGCACACAACATAAGCTACAGTCCATACAGCAAATGGCAAACAAATATGATGCACAGGTCAGCATATGTAGTATATAACACACACATAACTGTATATGACAACCAAATACCTGTGAAGCACGAAGGGTCAGTGGGCTGAAAGGAGTGTCCACAACCATAGGCTGCCAGATGGTAGCTTCAAAAGCTTCATTTTCACTTCTTACTCATCTAAAGCTTCAAAGCCACACAATTTGTCCTTCTTCCAGACTGTCATTGCTTGACCAGTTAGTTAGCCGCTCGGCTAGCGGACAGTGTCTCTCAAAGTTGCTGGGGCACAAATATTGCGTTAGCCCACAAACTGAGGATCAAGTCTTGTCATATACAATTGAGGGCGTTTAATACGACTTGTAATGAACTTTTACAATCTGTGACGGTTAGTTAATATAGTTTCAGCAGTTAAAGAAGGGTCCACCATTCGCCCTCCGTCCCCCTCAGAGTGTCCAGCCTAAAACATGACCTAACGGCCAACTTTCCTTTATTAACGCTAAACTTTCACACAGTTTTCCCACAGAAAACATCTAATCTGGCGTCAAACTGTGGATATGGCGCAAATAACGGACACTTTGCTTTTATCACATACACTCAGCCGCTGATGAAAATCGACCCGGTTCCGTTACAAAACGCTCGTGAGGGGTTTTCAGGCTCGTGCAGCTAAAGCTAATGCAGTTGCGCGCTTACCTCGAGCGGCCTCGCGGAATTTCTCTCTCATTTCCTCCCACTCTGTGCCTTTCGTTCGCAGAAAATCGCTTCCTCCGGGGGTAATGTGCTATTCAGCTTTGTGTAAATGTCAAAAATACGTCTTGCTTCTTGTCTTAAAAAGACTTGACGACTAAGTACATTCTTACTCCCACAACAACAATGTCAACCAAGGCGCTACAAATCCGCCCATCTAAGGAAACTCAACTGGCCGTTTGGGCCAATCAGAGAGAGAGTTGAGTTTGACAGGCACATGCGTGAGCCAATGGCGGTAGGAGTTTCCTTTTAAGCTCCGCCTGTGGGCAGAAAAGGGCAAATGTGAAGAGAGAGTGGGAGCTCAGTATTCCACGCTGGTTGGTTAACCACATTGTACATGATGAGCATCGGTTCGAAGAGCCTATGAAAGAAAATCGGACTTGAGTGACAAAGCAGTAAGGAACAATTTTATTTCAGGGGGACCGTCTTAGTCATGATGCAAATTGCTGATGCTGGAAAAATGCCATCAGCATCTCGTCTGACCAATTCCACGTTCTGTCAGCATGACCTCAGAAGTTATTTTTCCTCTGTGATAAATGAACGCCTATCATTTCAGTGGAAAACTGGCCTAAAAACATTTCCTAATAGAGATATGACATTCCTCTGTGGTGTACACTCCAGAAAAAATAAGAGAAAAGCATATCAAATATTTATATAATTCATTTAAACTCAGTTTAAAGTTAGCAATTAAATATGCAAATATCTAAACCAAGTAATTTCATGTCCTATTTTTTTTATTTAAAATACTGGTAAAAAAAGAAAAATGTAAGTAAATACAAAAACATAACAGTTAGATGGAATAACATCAAATTATTAAACTATTTGTGGTCAATATTAGTCAACTGATTAAAGTCATTGCAAAAATTTGCATGCATAAAAAATTAATCTCAAAGAAACTCATGAATGCTGCACATGGCATTTGACCTCTGGGTGATGCTATTTTTTTATTTATACTATTTTGGTACTGCATTCATTTTGGTAAACTTGTAAATTCTTGGTAAAACTAATTGTAAAAAACAGAACGGGCTCAAATGCAAAGCATGGAACCAACAAAGATCTCAAACCAAATTAATTTATTGGAAATACACAAATCACTACTCATAACAGGTTTCAAAGAGTGAATGACATGTCTACATACATTTTAAAGTGTACTCCCACTTTGTACAAAAAAAAAAAAAAAGTGGAAATAAAACTGGTGGAAATACTGACAGCTTTAACACGTGTATGCTTCAGCAGCCTCTGTCATTCTTTAACAAAAGACCTACAGAAAGTTGTGACTAACTAACAATTAAGTACTCCCCCCCCCCCCCCAAC